TGCGTTTAGTATAAACCCACAAGTATAAAATAAATGAAAAATGTTACATCAGTTGACTGTGTGATCTTGGGTTGTGAATTTGTCTCCAGGAGAGAATTTCACCACCATTCCACATCTTAGTTTTACAGCTCGATATAAATTGTGTGGAGTAATGCATGTATTTGATCGTTTTGTTTTCATTTCCAATGATGTTGTTTGTCTTTTTCTAATAAGGAACTGAATTGTATGAACATATGATCTGGTAAAGTCAGTCTTGTTTTATTAAAAAATATAGCTGAAGTACTGAAATTTTACTGTACTTGAAAAAAATGCCTTGAAGTTTTCAATTAGTGCTTTTTAAATTGTCCATTTGAATATTTGCCTTCAAAATAAGTTTTCTACCTAAAGCAGGCACTATTTTTACTAGAAAATTACTTTGTCAGCGTTGGCCTATCAATTGAAATATGGGCTGTGTTTTTTTCATTTTTAAGCCTTTCCGCAGTACTATCTGAGACAATTAATATAGTCTTGCAGAACTAGTGAGAGCACAGTTTGACATAGTTTCATTATTTTTTCAATCTTAATGTTCTTTCCCTTCAATAGCTCATTTGTAGACTTTTCTATTAGACTCAACATGTTAAATCTGCCAAATATGGAATTACTACTCTTAGTTGATAAATGAAGGATCAGATTCTTCCCTGTTTGCTGGTGCCTATTCAGAGCAGAGCTGTAGCAATCAATGAACTTCACCAGCTTAAAGCTCAGTGTGGATCATTCATAGTGTTAAGACTGTTCCTGATCTCAAGAAGAAGACTAAGGTCAGATCAGAGCACGGGTTTTAGCCTTACTTTTGCAGATACCAGAACAAAATGTCTTGAAACAAAAAAAAAAAAAAACCCAACAAGCCAAAACTGTTATTGTCCTTTCATGTTTTTTTTTAGTTGCTGGGTTTTTGCTGTATGAATAGGCCCTAATTGATTAATACTGAATGGGTCTGCTAAATTATTTTGAGTTTTGTGGTTACAGGTATTTGTTTTCTTTTTATAGGTATGTTTATCATAGCTCCAAGTGGATGGTGGCTGGTAACGCTGACTCCCCGGTACCACCTCGTGTTTATATTCACCCTGATTCACCTGCCTCCGGGGAGACGTGGATGAGACAAGTGATCAGCTTTGACAAACTGAAGCTTACCAATAATGAGCTGGATGATCAAGGGCATGTGAGTACTTTCTCTTGTATACAGTATTATATGTAGGTGCATCCCTCAGCCCTGACTCTGACGTACAGCTTCAGAGTGCCAGAAGTAGGCTTGACTTTTCAAAGCTGTTTTGTAACTTTACCATCCAGATCTAAAATCTGCTTACTTTCTGCTCCGATAATTAACTGCTTATTAGACCCTGCTGTTTTACTCCCCCTCAAAAACAGAACTCCTTCTGCAGAGTAAGAATTTACAAGGGTAAAGTGCCTAATACGAAGGGGCAGAATTGCTCTCATGTTTTCCCACCGAATGTATTACTTGCAACTTCTGCTCCGATCAAAAAGGATGCTTAAATTCACAAGTGGCTAGAAGAAACATTAGTAGTGTGTAATAACTTCATGTGAATAAAAATACACTTAACTATTTTCTTAACCTAAACATTTGTGTGAAATCCCATGAGGTGTTAATAATTGCAGTCAAAAACGAACAACATGGGAGCTGGGTTCACTCTGATAATGATTTATTACATACCTTATGAAGCAAGACCCTTTCACAGCTGAGGCTCATTACTTCGGAAAAAACTGGCGAAGATGTATGCAGTATGAGTGTTCTGTTTGCAAGTTCTAAATTGTTTAGTTATGACATTATCTAATGTGACAAAATGTGTTATGTTAATATTTCCTTTTCTCTTCAAAACTGTTGAAACGTGACAGATGTAAGCCAGTATCTTTCCAGCAATCCCCAGAATAGTTTTACTCGACACCTTAGGAAATAATTAAAAAATGAGAATTGTTTTTAGTCAGGGTGAAGTCTTTAATTTTGCAAAATCCTGTAATAAAGGGCAAATGTTGGCCTACTTTCAGAAGGAGAAACAAACTCCAAGTGGTAGAGTTTTAAGATGTTGGAGGCAAGTTTTGAGACAGGATGTGGATTCCATTGTCCTTAGCATAGCCCGATTTATTAACGAGGATACTTTCCCCTTCGTGGAAGGGAGTGAAACAAAACATACCTGGCACAGAGTACAAAGATACTACATCCATTTTTCAGTACAGTTGTAACTCTGTGTCATTAAGCCATGTATTTTGTCAATATGTAGTCCAAGTTTAAGTATGGTTTTTTTTTTTCTCTGTTTGTGTTTGCAGAGGATATTAACATGAGACTCTGATCGAATTGTGCAGGAGCTACAACTTCTATGTTACAGCAGCAGGAGTACAGGAGACTGTACTGAGCTAGTGAATGCGATAACAGGGATAAGAAGCCTCCCTTTCGTGTAACACTGTTCGTAATTTTATAGTGTTTGTCCTTAAAAACAATGTGGGGGTATTCACATACCTTAAGTTTGCAGTGCTTTTCTTTAGGCTTGTAAGAAAGACATTTTATACTGCTTCTTTCCAGAATTACAGTTGCGGAGCAGCATCTGTTTGTCTTAAGGTTATCATACATACTTCCCTTCGTTTCTCCAGCATTTGTGTATTTCAAACTCTTCTTGGGTGGGAGTTGCTTTCTCTGAGTCCTGAGTCTATTGTAAGGGCTTTAAAAAGTGAAGCAGATGCAAACGGGTAAAATGTTGCTTTTCCAACAGAGACCAGGCCAGCTGGTTTTTGTACTTGTTGCAGAGGGATGGTATGTGGCTACTGTGGTCCAGCCATGCACTTGCAGTCCCAAACTGCCCTGTGATAAAATCTCAGCTATGTAGAGAATTGTATTACTGTATTTTTTCCAGCCCAGATCTTAGCTTTGTTTTTATTCTGAACCGAAACCTGTGTAGTGTACACAGCACACCATTATTCATAATACAGGGGGATATAAATTTTCTGGTCTTTAGCTAAGTGTTTCGATTTGGAAACTAGTGAAGCTAAGCCCTAGTACAGTGATTTGAGACACATTGAACTGATTCAGAGCTACAGCAGTGCCCCTCCTCCCTAAAATGGAAATTTAAGTATTAAAATAAAAGGACAAAAGAAGGATGACTGTAAAATAATTTCATATTTCTCAAATCTGGGAAATTGCAAACATGTCATTCAAAATTACCAGAAAAGGCAAAAGCAGAAAGCAGAAAAGTGTCTCTTCCAGTGGGTACATTTTTTCTTTTAAAGCTATGTTAGTGTGGAATGCTGTATTGAAAAAGCTGTGTAGCCTCTGAATGCCTCTAGCAATAATGGAAAACGAATAATCATATTTTGTGATGAATATAAAAAACCCCAATTGTTTCTCATAAGCAGGAAGGAACCATTTTTCTCAAGAGGGTACCAGGGGAGGGATGAAGGATTAGAAGGGGAAGGGGTCAAGGCTGTACTTCGAATATTAGTTTTTACATCAAGTATTCTGACTCTCCCACCTTGTATGGGTGATAGAGTATCTTTTAGATTATTAGGAAGTTGGTTTTGTTTTTTTCTCCCTCTTAGGCAAAGTGGCTGAGAGAAACCTCAGTGGGGTCTCTGCACTTTGCCATCACTCCTCCTGTAAGGGCTTTAGAAGTTGTTCTTTGGGTGTGCTTTCCGTGCTGTCTGGTTCTGAGGCTTTAATCCATGTTGAAACAGTTTCTTTATTCTTCCTGTGCTCCTCAAATGTGTAAGGTTTTGCAGAGTTTTTGTGTTAAAACCCCAGGGCTAGGTTTTGATCTTACAGGCGCTGAGGTAGGGAGCTCACATGAGATCAACCCAGAGCCCTTTTACCTATTCTGTCATTCTATTCCAGAGTACTAACTTTCAGAATCGGTCAGAAAAGTGACCCATGTCCATGGGAATAGGGACAGTATTTGCAAACAGACGCTAAGGTAGTATTTCTGTGCAGTATTTATACTGTGGTAGTAGTCCATGGCAGCCCGCTCCCCTTGCGCTGCATTGCCCTGGGATTAGCTTCTTGTGAAAGGGGATCAGCCATCTCTAAGATGACTTGTTTCACTGCTCGAATGCTTTCCGGGCTCCTTGCTGCCTGCTGCTATTTTCATCAGTGTTTTGAGTGGGAGTTTGTGACGACGTTATTTTAGAGAGCTGTTCTGTGGAGAGATTTTGGAGTACATCTGCACGTAGGACACTCTCTGATACATGGGTTCCACTTGCAGGCTGAGGAGATCAAGCAAATTTTGTAAGGATATGTTTTCCTTGTGTGTGTTTGATCTCAAAAGGAAGTCCCAGGGTGATTTCCCTGCTTTGGAAAGATTGTGTGCTTATGAAGGCATTAAGACACATACTGTAGCATTTGTCTCTTTCATCTGAGTTCTGATGGTGAGGAAAAGTAAACCTGCATTTTGCAGTTGACACTAAGTGAATGGTCTGGGTGCTCTCTGTGAATGTCTCTCATCCCCCTCTCATCTGTGGAGTAAGTGCTGCATTGTAAAAGCAGTCTTTCCCTCCGGCTGGTTAGAGCTGGCTGATTCTTCTGTTTTGATGCAGTTTTTAATCTGAATTTCAGCAGAGAGGAAAAGTCAATATTTTTGATGCTATTTTCCATGCTTTTCAACTGAGTATTTTTTGGTGCAGTGGAACATCTTTTAACTTTTAGTGAAAATGAGGCTGTTAGCCTGTTAATTGTTCCTTGGTGGTTGGGTATGGGTTTTTTTCCCATTTGAAAGTGGGGTGAGGCTGGAAGCAGAGGCGGACTGTTACTCTGCCCAGACTTGGCTCCAAGTAGCGAGCTCTGCTTACAGTCAATGGCTAGTTATATGTTCTTGTCACAATGAAAAGCTGGGAAACATCAGCATTTGCACTTGCAGTTTTTGTCTTTTATGAAGAGGGAATCTGTGCTTCTCAGCCCTACACACTCCCCTAACTGCAGAAAGCAGGAATGCATGGGCTTTGCAAGGGAGGATGAAGGAGGATTTGGGGCAAAAACAGTGTCGAGGTGAGGATCAGGCTGGTTGTGGGGAGGGGACTGTGTAGTCCATGAACTGCTGAGCTGCCAGGGGATTGGCATCTCCTCCATGAAAGAGTATTGGGCTCTCACTTGTTCTGGCTGTGGTGGTAGCGCCACGGCAGTGCCCAAGCTCATGGTGAGCTCTGAGGTCTCATCACAGCTGCATCTCTGAAAAGCTGTGCTTCAAAGGCGATCCCACCTTTGTGTGTCCGCAGGTGCTTTGGCTGCCTTTGCTCTGCCAGGATGTTGCATTGCTCTGCTGCCTAGCTGTGTCTTCCATTCGGTAATGATGTCTTGACTGCTGCTGTGGTCAAAGTGTAATTTTACTTTTGGCTGGAGAGGTTTATTTCCCCAACAAATGTTTTGGTCTCATCATGTGAGGGATTTGTAGAGAGAGGCAGGCTCTTTAGCTGTGAGTTGAAACTAATTCCAGTTTATGTTTGGTGTTTGGTGGGGACTTGTTGGGGCTTTTCTGTTGTTGGCTTTTAACGGTAAAAGGGGGAAGTTGCTACTTCTGCAGGTAAACTGTTCGATCTCATTTGTGTTGTGAAACATGCAAGCACTGCAGAATGAAAAGCCAGAATCTCCTTTTCCTTAGCTTTTTCTTCATAATAGCTCTAGGTGATGCTTAGAATAATAGAGCTGAACAGTTTTTGGACAGGGTGTTGCATCTCCCTCTCCTTTTATGTCCTATCTTCATAGTGTTGCTCTTCAATTCACCAGGGCTCTACGGTTATGTATTACTTATTTAGAATTCAGAGTCCTGATCATTAACAAAGATCCCATTGTACAAGACAAGGTACAACATCAAGAAGCAAAAAATTCTTGGTATGGATCTGCTAGTCGTCTAGCAGTGTGTCAGTGCAGGAAGCCACGCCAGTGCAGCACAGAGGCAAGCCAGGTTGCTCTTAGGAGATGACAAGGATCAGTTTAGCTGTAATAGCCACCCAGACGAGGACTGGGAGGTGTTCATGTCTCTGCTGCTGTGACTTCACTTGTTCTGATACATGAGCAGAGTTGTTTATAGCTGCCCGGGTTATCATTGTGTACAGTTAAGTCCGCCGTGTAGGCAAGTGGTAGTTTGCACTGCAGAGCTGATGGAGTGACATAATCCGTCTGGGAGCAGAACGTGGCATGCTCAGTGGCACCCAGGCAAATGGCAAGGCACAGAATAGCGGTGGGTTTGAACAGTGGAACAGAGCTTTCCTTGATAATTTTTCCTCCTCTTCCACCAGTATCTCCCCTGGTATCACTGGGTGTTCACAGGAAACAGCGTCAGGAATGTGCTGTCCTCTCTGCATTTTCATTTTGTAGATCTTTGCCAGCGGAGAACTGAAAGGAGTGTTGTAAAAGGGAATACACATTTGCATGATAAAAATCTTGCTCTGTACAGGATTTCAGAAACTGGGAAAAGGCTTCATATGAGAACATCCTTAGGGCACTCCCTGAGCAAATTAATTGGAGCCTGTGATGTCATTGTCAAAACCTTACTTACAGGCTAATAAACTCCATGATTATCCAGAAACTTGGCTTACCCAAACTGGGGTCATGTCATCTGGCCAGGACCAACTGTATTAACCTAGCCAAACTCTAGTTTATCCAAATGAATGTAATGTCCTCTGTGTCATTTGGATGAATGGACTTCCAGTGTCTGGCACAGGGACTCTGATGAGTGCCTGAGTACATGCACATTCTGAAGCTACTCGAGGAGCAGGAAATTAAAAAACTTCTCCTGAATGTTGATTAGTGGTTCCAGAGGCCAGTAGCCATAGATTATTTATTTATCAAGTTACTAATTTCTCAGGCCTTCCAACAATAATAGTGGAGCTTCCAATTATTATTTTTCCTTGAAGTCTTCTATTTTAGTAGTGGTTAGCTGAAGTGAAGTAAAATAGAGGAAACAGTTCTGTATTTTAAATCTCATCTAAAATTTGGGAGCAATACCAAGAGGTATTTTTGTGTATAATTTTATGCACTGTGAATTCATATGTTTCTCATTTATAGTTTATTCTTAATTGAGTTTTTGTATGCTGGGAAGAGTTTGTGTATTGATATTCATTGTTTGTATTATAAATCTAGGGTTATTAACACTTTAGAGTTTTGGATTTCAGTATTATATTACTCCAGGTTTGTGTGTCTTCAGAGTGTAAGAGTCTCAGCTTGTGTTCAAAACAGGAGATGTTTCCAGGATATCTCATTGGGATATCAAGAAAAAAATTGCTCCAAGCACATCCTGAAGGTTCTGAAAACAAAAAGCAAATGCTGCTGCTGTTAATCCTGTTATATCTAATCCAGGCTCCAGTGGAAAACAGTGACAAAACTTTACTAATTCCAGTGGGATCAGGACTTCACTCCTGATTTTTTTCCCTTTGAGCCAGTTTCAATTGAGCCAGTCTCTGAATTTGGACCTCTTGAGTCGTAATTTTTAAATGCTTAGGGTAGGCAATAGCATAAATGCACAGGGATTAGACTACTGTAATAAGAACCTTCAGAGGTTAAAGAAAACATTTGATTTCCAGTAAGTGGCATGGTAAACACATACCATAACCTGTTCCAAAAAGCTATTAGTCCTGAAACAGCAGGGTGCCCTTTCTAATAAATGTTATCTTTTTCCTTTAATGACCACATAGATTATCCTTCACTCTATGCATAAATATCAGCCTCGTGTCCACGTCATCCGAAAAGACTGTGGAGATGATCTGTCCCCCATCAAGCCTATCCCTTCAGGAGAAGGGGTGAAAGCCTTCTCCTTTCCAGAGACAGTTTTCACTACTGTCACAGCATACCAAAATCAACAGGTAACTTGGACTTTCTGCTTAACGCTTTACAGGCTTTTCAGAGTAGACCAGGGAAGTAAGAGGTAAAAAGTGAGAGATGCTTGGTAAGAGAAAAGTGGATCCGTTTATTATAACCCTTATTTAAAAGCATTGTCTAAACACTTCTTGTATTGTAAGTAGCTTTCACTAGTAGTATTTTAGCAGTGCCTGGAGGCTATAGCTTCAGGACCTCTGGGCTAGATGCTGCCTGTAAAAATTTGCGGGGATCACAGAGTCTAATACATAAACATAGTTCATAGTGTCTCAATTATAAATACAGTATTAAAACACAAGGTGAAGAACAGTCTAATTTTCAAAGGTGTTTTTTGTGCCTTTAAGTGTAGCTACATGTCTGGATAGAATCTTTAAAGCTCTTTTGTTCCTGAGTCCAGTGATTTAAAAACTCCTAGGACCTTAACAGAAAAGCTGAGGTCTAAAGAAAGTTGCAGTCATTGTCATTAGCTGCATTCAGCATATTTTTTAACTGCAATTTACCTGGGTCCACACAGATTCAAAGTCAAAAGTAAGCTACAGGTTGTATCACTCCAGTCTTTGTCCCTTATTACCTCTTGTTTAAGTATTAACATACATAGTCACACCTTAGTGTTGTAACATCTTACTAATTTTGTGGAAGTAATTGCAGCTGTATTTTAGGAAATGTGCTATCTTTACAAAGAGAACAGAGCCATGTAGATACTGAAGTATTATTTGGCACCTATCTCATTTATTTAAATAAATTACAAGTGTTGGGGGGAGGTGTTGCTGATTTGTTGGTTTTTTTTTTTTTGTGGAGGATAATAGCCTAGAGATAATCTCTCTTTCAGATTTCCTTCTTGACCAGTACAGAAATGAAATTTAATATAACTTTATTGCAGTTAGGCAGTGTACTCTCTTATATGAAGAATGACATTTGCCAGAAGATTTTTCTTGAGAATTCCAAACTGCCATTTGATAGCATTAAATACCTATTTAGTTTCTCTGGGGATTTGCAGAAATAATGATGGGAGGGCTGGCCCTTTTTCTGCTGTTTTTCGGGACAATCATCTTAAACCATGCAAATGTCAAGGTGTTTCTACTGCACTGTCAGCTTAATTCTGTCAGGAGAGTAATTTTGTGTATTATGTAGCTGAATTTGCACGTAATAATGTCTCTAATCATATTCACAGATAACTCGTCTGAAGATTGATAGGAATCCATTTGCCAAAGGCTTTAGAGATTCGGGACGTAATAGGTAGGTGTTGGGGAAGGAGGTGGGCTTGTTACTGCTGACAGAGTTGGTTTGTGAAGGCTGGTTGAGGGAATGCCTGTGTTTACAGACATAACAGTCTGAGGACTCAGACTCTGAGGAAGTTAGGCTTCCTGGTAATGTTCTTTGTGGTGGATTCCTGCTCCTACTCCTCTGACCATCTGCGCCAAGAAGGGGTTGGCACTGGGCTTGACTCATGTGTTTCGGTGGTAGCGGCAGCATGCCATGAAGGCTGTAAATGGAATTAATGCATGCTCAGGTCTGTGATTTCAGGCTGCTTCTGAAATCTCATCTTTCTCTTGGCTGGAGAGAGAAACTGGAGATACCAATGTCAAACTATAAGCCCAGGTTGTTTTGCATGTAAGTGGCATTTAATATGAATGAATGGTTTGTTTTCTTTTCAAGGGGGAGAAACCAAGTCCCCTCATGCAGTAACCTTATGTTCACTACCCTCGCCTAGAAGCTGGGGCATCTGTGTTCAAGTACCTCCTTAGCCTAAGGAGTTTTAAATCCACTTCCTAGGTGAATGCCTTTCCTACTAGGCTGTAGATGACCTTCAAACAAGCCTGGTTTCCACCTCTTCTGTTGTAGTTGGATTGATTAATTGCTTGGTCTGTCTTGATCCATGAATCTTTCAAAATAGCAATGGGGAATCTGAGTAGTGCAAAGTGGAGACTTGGGTCTAGTCCCTGCTGGCAGCACTGATGAGGTATTTTATCCAAAGACTGTTTAATGCAAAATACTTAAGCTTGTTATGAATTGTATGTTAAATCATTTTGGCTAAAAAAAGCAGCATTTAATTGTGGTACATATTATACATCAGTTCCAGTGACCACATCATGTTTGGTGTCTACAGCTGCTATATTTATGACCTAGCCTTGCAGAAAAAGGAGCAGACTGTGTGCTGGTAGGAATGCTCAGAGAGTATCTTTTGGTAGCTGCTTTAATGATCTTCTCTTTTAGCAGAGACTGCAGCATTAAAGCTTGTTTTGTGCTTCTACCCGAGCTATATAAATGCTGAGACTGGACAGCAAATGAGAGTAGTTTTTCAGAAAATGAACAGTTATAGAAGGGGTAGGGTAGTTATAAAGATTTACAGGAATTCACTGTAAGTATCTTTTCAGCTTGCACTCTGCATTTGCTGCTCTCTAAGATTTTGTCTTCTAGCAAGGATGTCCAGAGAGGGTTTTTTGTTTATCTGCTAGGAATAAGTTTGGTTTGGGCACTAGAAAAAAAGCAGGATATTTTAATTGAAAGACAATGGATTAGGCATCCAGTCCTGTAGGAAGGGCCAGCGTCTGTTACACTAAAAGCATTAAGACCTCATCTAAAGCCAGTTCTGAAATATATTACAGACACACTGGTTACGGAAATGACTGCAAACTCTTGTCCATTGCAAATTGGCATTGGTTTACTACAGCCACTATTGCTGTTTTCTTTGATAGTCTCTGTGATACTGAATACACGTGTTTGGGAATGCAACTAGGAGTTTTAATTGTTGAGAAGAATTCATTTTTAAATTTAAATTACTGGTTTTACTCAGTTGATTATTATTTTATTCTATTACAAAATATTGAAATTAAACGTTAAGATTCTGTTTTCTTCGTTGTTCTAGCTGGTGTATTTACTACCGAGGCATTTCAGTCTGCAACAAAACTGGAATAACTGTGATACCATTATATCTGACTTTTTAACGTTGTTTTAATTATGGCAGATACCTTACTCTGCACTGCGGCATGCACTAGTTCTGTTTAATTCATCTTAAATGATCTTAAATGATCTTTCAGATCATTTCTGTTCAGTCCCACAGGCTATTTTACAGAAATCAGTAGCTTCACCTTTTAAAAGCATTCCCTGTGCATTTGCAAAGTGCAACAGAATTTATGTGCTGAGAATAGTTTCATTCTTCAGTCAAGGCCTTAAGTTTGACCCTATAAAAACTTTTACTCGGGAAAGGACCAGAATTTTTCCCTTTAAATACTTCAGGAAAAACATAACTGTTTTCTTAAATAAACTTGGCCATTTGATAGCATAAATTAGGGTGGTGATAAAATGTGGAAATTGTTCGAAGGCATCTTGTATAAATTATCGCCTTGGCTACACTCCTCCAGGAGGTAGCTTTTATCTCCACTTTAACTAGAAATGAAAATTCACCATTACTGCAGAAAATGAAGGCTATCTTTTTAGTCCAGGTTCAGCTAATAAATACTTTATAAATGTTTCCTGACATACATTTGTGATGCATTGGGAAAGAAGTGGTATCAGAAGAACACATTGGTAGTTTCAGATTGGGCTATTTGCATAATTCGAGTTTACAGAGTGCTGCTGCTCGAAGGGAAGCACTTGTATTTGGTGTGTGCCTGATGCTGACACTTAACAAGCCTTTGGGACCCAGCAGCCAAAAATAACAGCAAAATTATACCTCTGAGGTGCATTATTCATAAAATTATGTCAGAAAACAAATGAGCCTTTACCTTCAGGAAATAGAAATTCTTCTAAATACTGTCTGCCATGATCATCTCCCCAGTTATTTCTGTTTTTTCACAATGCTTTTAAAAGAAAATGACAGAAGATTTTTAGTTTCTAAAGGCACAGAGTAACCAAGACACAACATTGCTTTATACATTTTAGAAGCAAAAGAGCTGTACACCCATGCCTTGCTCATGTTGTGTGATTTTCCCACTCATTGGTAATGACTGAGAATCCTGTTTTAATAGAAGTTGTCAGTGGATCACATTTGTTCCAGGCAGAAAAAGGAGATCATCCCTCTGGCAGTTAGAGCAGTTGCTCTTAAGGAAATGTCATACTAGGAAAACATCGAACATCATTTTAGCCAACTCTCCCTGCTCAAAAAACCCTCCCAAAAAGGTAAAAACTGTTGAAATAGAGAGCCAGACTAGGGCAATTGGAAAACTCTTTGCCTGCTGCCAGCCTGGTGGCTGCAGATCACAGTGATCTCATGGATAAGAACGTAAAGCTCTTTTCTAAAAATCAAAATAAACTTCAAAATAATCCTGAAATGTTACCAGTGTTTCTGAGGTAAAGTATCCAGGGACACCTGATGTAATACAGTTTGTTTTCATGATGCCGTGATGTTCTTGTTCTAAACAGAATGGGACTGGAAGCTTTGGTAGAGTCTTATGCCTTCTGGAGACCTTCACTGAGAACACTGACCTTTGAAGATATACCTGGGATACCCAAGCAAGGTAACTGTCATCTTCATATTCTTTCAAAACAAAAATGCATTAAGATAAAGCTTTGCCCATTATGCTTTACAAAAGTCTGGGTAAGTGAAAAAGCAGCCAGCGAACCCCAGAGCAGACTATCACCTCTCGTGAGTTATTTTAAGGTACAAAACTAATGCTAACTTAACCGCTGAGGCAATAAAAATACTAGGTTTTAAAGATAAATCAGATCACCTGTAGAGGAGAACACCAGTTATTTGAGGATGGAATAACCAATTCTGTAATGTTATGCTGTGGCTAGATACACAAAGTAAAGATGATTTATAGATTACTTCTGTTTTACACATCCAGACTCCAATGTAGGAGTTACTTGTGTGTTTAAGAGAAAAGGAAAACAGAATGAGAGAAAAAATGTCCTCTTAAGTAATAAGTAAATAGTAGCAAGCTTAATTGGGTTTCTTTCTTGGAAAGCCTTCTTGATTCTTAAAGACCTAAAAATTGTTTGGTAAAGTCCAAGCAAACTTTAGCTGCATCCTAGAGCTTTTAAAAATAGACCTCCTCTCCATTTTGCTTTTTAACGCTCCCCAGTTTGTAACCTCTTGGTTTCCACTTTCCCCATCATACAGGTAGTGCTGTGAAGGAGAGAGATATTTAAATGGCCTGTTTGGACAGAGAGGGGAATGTCTGACCTCTTTTCTGAAATCCTTTATTGCCAGAGTACCCCAGTGCATATAGAAAACCTTTCTGCCTTTTCCCAGCTAAATCAGACATTCCTGGTTCTTCACGTTTCCTGTCACCAGATTTACAACCATCTTACCTGCTTTCTTGATAATAGTGTATTGCAAAGTCAGTAAACATCTTCAGAACAAAAATCCAGAAAATAAGATAATACACAGAAATCACTGTTGTCAACTTCTCCTTAGCCTACTCCTTTGAGAAATCTTGAGCATCAGTGCTTGATGTGGGCAGTTACAAGGAAGTTTTTGTGCCAAGACGAACGGAGCATCAGAGTGAGACAATCCTCAAAAAAAGGCCTGTAATGAGAAGTCTGCATCAGACCTGAATAGCTTGTTAGACTGAAAAGCAACTCACTGTGAAGTTAATCCACCTAGGAGACAGACCAGCTGTATTGCCCTATTTGTACGTAGCTGCACTGTCTGAGGGTAGGGCAACTGCTGCCATGAACTTCCTGCTTCCATTTGTGCTGTTGCCTGATGTTAGGGAGCTTGTTGAAGTTGCTGTTGATGTTCAGAGGATGGGAAATAGGATCCTTGCAAAATGTTTAATTACCTATACCTTGGACAGTAGGGTGCTTTAGAGAATTGCTGAAAGACCCCCTTAGAAATTTGTCCTGTTTAATGCTGGAAGTGACCATCTGAAGATGGTGTTGACATAGATCAGGAGAATAATAAGTACTGTTTTTCTTTTTACTAGCTCACGTATCATGAAAACGTGCTAACAGTGTGTATCTCTGCAGCATCAAGCTGTCTGATTGTTAATGTGGTTCACAAACTGGAGAGTCTTCCTTGTTAAGTGCCTTCTGCCTTGGAGACTGTGAAAGGCCCAAATTAGTTTTCTGAGCTCGTTTTTTTTGGTAGATAAAATCTTCTAAGAAAAGGAAGTGTTTCTTGCAGTTGGGAAACTTTCAGTCCTGAGAAAAGGCTTCACCTGTAGCAAGCAATGTGTTTTCAGGAGCATTCAGCACTGGTATTTGTCATGGTATCATCTGATACAAAGTTCTGATATTAGTAAATGAACGGTTTGCGAACAGCTTGCTGCAAAGCTAAACCTCCACCTACCTGCTCAAGAAATGAAGCAGCTCTGCACAGTCCTCAGCCTACGCTTTTCCTAAAGTTGCTCTGAAGTTTTGTTCTCAAGTATTTTTCATTTGAAGTCAGAAGCTTTTTGTTCTGAAGTTCTGCTCTGAAGTTGTGAACTTTCCTGAAGCTGTTGAACTGTGGGAGGTTGAGCTAAGCAGCGTGTTCCTTCGCTGGTGCTCTGACAGTGATAGTGCCTGAAATGCACTCCAGGGTGTAGCAAGGCCATAAACAACACAAAAATTCTTCATCTTGAAGTGTGGTACTCACTTGGCTACATCTTAATTGCCATACTATTTCCTTCCAATGTCAAAGAGTAATTAATATTTTGGGCAGGAGCTGTTAGTATCGAGCGATGGTTGCAAAAGTGTAATTTCTGTTCTCTTTCTTGGCCAGGTTGTTTCTTTAAAAATATGCATGTGCCATGCACCCCATCTCCTCTCACCCCTCCATGTGTGTACAATATTTTTTGATTGAATGTGAGTCGTGTTTCATGTCAAGGGTTGTTATAAAAGGCAAAGGTCTTGATCTGTCACCTGGGAAGTGAACCTTTCCCAACACGCTTCTTACACTGTAACATTCTCTTCCAGGAAATGCAGGTTCCTCTACTTTACTCCAGGGATCTGGCAGTGGAGTGCCATCTACCCACCCTCACCTTTTACCGGGTTCCCCTTGCTCATCTCCAGCCTTCCACCTCAGTCCCAACACTAGCCAGCTCTGTAGCCTTGCTCCGGCTGACTACACAGCTTGTGCCCGCTCAGGCTTGACCCTGAACAGATACAGCACTTCTTTGGCTGAAACTTACAACAGGCTCACAAACCAAACCAGTGAGACGTTTGCACCCCCGAGGACTCCCTCCTATGTTGGTGTGTCGAGTAGCACAACTGTGAATATGTCTATGAGTGGCAATGACGGGGATGCATTCAGCTGCCCGCAGACTGGCTTATCTATGCAGATTTCAGGGATGTCTCCACAGCTCCAGTACATCATGCCATCCCCATCCAGCAATGCCTTTACCACTAATCAAACCCACCAAGGCTCCTACAACACGTTTAGACTGCACAGTCCCTGTGCACTCTATGGATATAACTTTTCTACATCCCCTAAACTGGCTGCCAGTCCTGAGAAAATCGTTTCTTCCCAAGGAAGTTTCTTGGGGTCCTCGCCAAGTGGAACCATGACGGATCGGCAGATGTTGCCCCCCGTGGAAGGAGTGCACTTACTTAGCAGTGGGGGGCAGCAGAATTTCTTTGACTCTAGGACCCTAGGAAGCTTAACACTCTCGTCTTCTCAAGTGTCTGCACATATGGTTTGATGAAGCCTTTAAGTAAAAGTACAGTATGTTTGGTGTCTACAATGTATTTCTTTCGGAATATGAAAGGACACTCGGTGTAGCTTGTAAAGTGTGTGTGTATATATAATATGAAAGGAAGTTTCACTGAATTTTTTTACTTGCTTGTGGCCAGATTATTCTCCTATTTTGAGTTACACAGAGTTTGCTGCCGCATAGACTGCTTTAGTTTTCTGGTATAATACACTTAGTTGTATAACACATTGGGACATATGCAACAAATTAAGTAAGACTTCCTCCCCTTTCCCCCTCCTCTGTTCTAACCCCTTTAAAGAATGAAATGACACTTGGAGTATTAAAACAACACAAACAAGCCCACTTACACTTCCTAGAGTACTAGTGAGTTTCTTTTAAAACATTGATACAATGATAAGCTGATGCACCAAAGGCATTTTACAGGTTTCTTCTGTGTTACAAGGGTTATGAAGGGTATTTGGACTTTTAAGTGTTAAGCATCAAGCATCCAGCCTAAAATAGAAGTTTAGCTAATGGATTATTTACAAAGTAAACAGAAAGATTAGCTTGCCTTCTCTTGAAACACTGTTTTCAGCTTTTCAATGGCACAGCATTCTTGCTAGGATTTTTTTTTCAGCATTAGTCTACAGTTACGATTAGATATTTGAAGATAAATAATGCATATTCGAATCACTATTTGAATGCAGTTGGAGTGGCGAATGGAGTAATTTAAACCAACAGCAGAAGAAGAGGCATTCCTTAGTACAGAATGAACTTTGGGGTGCTTAATTTTTGTCAAAGGAAGGGCTTGATGTATTTTTCCTGCATAAATATTGCCTATAAGACGTTTACTGGACAGTAGGATAATCTAATGTATCTTTATATTTGTATTTTTACTTTTTTTAAAGGAAAATGCAGGTCTGATTTAGGGAGAGGGAGGGAAAAGGCAAGCAGGATGAGAAATTCCATTATTGGTTTTACCCACCTCTGTGTGTGTTGTGTTTGGTTTTGTTGTTTTTTGGTTTTGTTTTTTTTTTTTAATAAGGGCAAAAAGTCCTTCATCTTCAGTATCTCATAAATACATCGCCTGCATCAATTAGGCAGATGATCTTGTTTGCCCACAAGTGTTTTCTGGAAGCAGAACTTTGTTGTAGCTGCCTTCATGCTGTTCTGTTTCATAGTCAGTTTTTGCCTTGGAATTGGAAAGGTTCCCTTCCCAATGGCGCTTGTGAGAACAGAGATCATGACCTGCTCCTATAGAGTGACAAGGACATGGGGAGACACTTGTCATGGTGAAATTTCTGCCCTCATCTGCACCTGCGCAGTCCTGGTGTGCATCATCCTGCTGCAGAAGCTGCCTCTCAGCTGCCCTCCTGTCAGAGTGGAACGATGGAGGTTGTGGGACAGATTTTAATGCTTGAGAGAACAGGTCGTCTTCAGCAGTGTGATAAGTCTCCTTTATATTGTGCAGGTGATGTAAAGGCATGATAAAGTGGGTAAAAATGTAGCTGAAAATGCTTCCCAGGCCAGTATTGAAGGGGAATAAGGTCTTTCATATTTTATGTTTTTCTCTGTTAGGTTTTTTTTTTTGTGAAGGTGGATTGTGTTTCTCAAGAGTTCCTATGTCTTTTCTGGCAAACAGTGGTCTTAACCACTCCCATGTCCATAAAGACTCGTTACAGCTAATATTTCTTCACTGGGATGGAGATAATGAATGCAGAAACAGTCCTCATGCTGTCTTCTCTTAGTATTTGGGAACAACAGAGAAACCGTAGCGGTCTTTAAGCCTGTGCCAGGAGAAGGGTTTATTTCTATTAGTTACATTTTTGTTTATGTTAAAGAAGACAAGTAGGAAGTTCTCATTCAAAGCTGGAAAGACAGGAGAATGCAATTGAGGAGATGTGGGTTTGCTTCTTTGCTGTCTCAAACTTCCCAAGTAACCTTGGGCAATTCACTCAGCCTCTCTGAATCTAACTTTTTTCTTTTGTAAAATGTGGTAATAGCACTTCTCTGCCTCACAGGAGAGGGTGACAGTACATTGAAGATGGAGATCATCTTTACATCTACTGTACTGTGGGCAGTATGTTGCAGATGAATGCCTGGGTAGTGTGTATGTATGAGGGTAACAAAGAGGTCCGTCGCTAGTTTTGGCATTGCAGTGTCTTTTGAGGCAGACCTTCTAGCAAAACCATGCAATGCTAAAAACACTATGCAAAAACCTCACACTCAAGATCTGTGGAATGGTTCTAAGATGTGTAGAAGATGAGCAACATTTTAGTTATGTGAATTGTCATAGCTCTATTGGTTTAAATTAACAAGAAATGTGTGTGCTCTAGCCAAAACTTTGAAATGTTGCAGTTGGACAAATCTTCAAATGGGAAGAATAGTACAGTTAATCTTTACTTGAAAAAGGATAATTTTCCATGTCATCCTAAGGGATATGACTAGGTAGAAATGTGGAAGAGCTAAATCATACGTGTTCCTGCAAGGGGAAAAAAAGGGTTGTGCATGGATGTTCATGGAGGTACTCCTGGCAACAGTATGTACTTTATCATCTGGGATTTTTTTAGAACTGGTCTCTTATTTTTCCTCAAATATTCTTATCATATAACCACACAATATTGTTTGAAAAATTTGTTCCTTAAAATTTGAATCATATTGTAAATACTTAACTGGTGTGTCATTGTGAAAAGACTAGCTTTTTATCAATATAGTAAATGCTATATATGCATTATATCTATAATTATATATCTGTATTTTACAAAATGCCACAGAAAATATATTAAAGTGTGTATTCAGACACTTTTTACTACATTTGGAAAACTGAGGGACTTGAGCCTTTTTTCTTTTCTCTACAACTTCACCAAGACCAAAGGAAGTGACTCTAAGGTAAGCTCTGAAACTCAGACACGACGAGCTGCAGTGATCCCACTAATCCACAATTCTTACGTGGTTCAGTTTAACCATATGCTGTTGAGCTTCTGTGTTGTTTGTACGCAAAGGTCATGTCAGATGTTGAGTACAAGGAGATGCTGAGGCTGATAGCAGAGTCCTGAGTTTTTTATATGGGAAGGGGGGATGGAGCAGCTTGCTACTCATTAGCCAGTGATGGAGCTTTGCTGATTGCTCATAGCCCAGTTTATCCCAGCTGCAAAGACCAGTTGCTGCCCTGTATCAACCAGATCCGGGAAGTCAGCACTTCCATGTGACCAGGTGCTTGAGCTACCCTCCATATTTTCTCTCCATGCTCTTACTTTGGTCGTTCCCTCTCTGTGCTACTGCTTCTAAATGCAAAAAATCCATCTATTCCTAAAGGCACAATTCACAACCTGGGTTGTGAATCAGCTGGGTATACTGTAACTCAACAGTGAGCAACATTTCTCCCCTCCAAAATACTGTTATGCATAGTGGTCTTATTTCCTATTGTACTGCAGTAAATGATTCCATGTGATGTAGGGCACAGAGCCTGAAAATCTGTTCACTTTAGAGACGACGCTTTCATAGTCACTTACACCAGCATTGTTGCAAATGACCAGAGTTAGGGCAAGAGAAGTAGGCATTAAATGCTTGATCATAAATATCAGGCCTCAAGAGAGAATGAAAGCTTCTGGTTTTAATAAGAGAAGAGCCTTTTTTGGAAAAGCATAATCATACTCTTGAGAGGGCTCATTTCTGCTTCAACGAGGACAACAGGAAAAACTTGAAAATCATGGACAGTGTTGGCATTAATGCTAGCAAGTCTGTACCATGAGCAGTTCAACAGAAGGAACTTAAATCATTGTCAGAAGTAGCTCAGAGATTCTGTGGGTATATGTTTCCTGTAAATATATCTAACAAGTTTGCGTAGAGAAGAGTTTAGAAATGCTGAAGAGTAGCTACTTGTGGAAGTCATGAACCAGCTTCACATACGAAATTACTATTTTGTTGCACTCTTCTGAATACGCTGTCAAACTTTCATGACATTAATGTTTAAATTTACTTCAAAGTCCCAAGTTTTTGTATCAATAAGTGCTATTTATCACGATGAGCTAATGGTCTTTGAGAGCTGACTCTGCGCTTCAGCTGACAAAATATATTGACTTGTCAGCTGAGCTGTTCGTTAATGTGATCCTCAGATTCAATATTCTGCCTTTTATTTAACACAAATTTGATATGTTAATTTAATATGTGCAAAACTACAGGAAAATTCATGTTCCGCCTTATGTTCCACCAAATTCCTCAGTTACTCAGTTAATTCAAAATTCTTATGTGCCAGGATGACACAGTCTTATAAGAGGTGATGACTTGCTTCATTAGGAAATAACATTTCTAGAGAATTCAACTTGTTTTAAATGCTTTTTGTCATTGCTGTTAAATTCATGCTCTGAAAAGGTGTTTGTTACCCAAAAAAAGCAGAAGTTCTATGCAGTCACCACTTATTCATGCAAAGCAGTGTTTAATCGGCCATAAAACTGTCTTAGAGAATTTGGTGCCTGGAGTCCTCACAGTGGTTCCAGCAAATGAGAATCTGAATCTCATGAATGTGGAGAAAGATACAGCCCTCAAATAATGATAGTTTCATCTATTTTTCTATTAAATCTGAATCCTCTTCATCTGGTAAGGCTAATATTGAAGCTTTGTACAGGAACTTTCTAGGTCTTTCCTTGCCAAACTTAACCTGCTGCAGGCTGGGTAAAAGCTTGTGCCTTGAAATACCATCACTTCTACCGCTGGTGCCCTCCTTTAGGCTCTCTGCATGCAAAAGCACTGGACAGGTTCGCATGGGAAGAGGTCACTACTTGCTCTGCTGTTAGTTATTTACCATTAAGTATACTTCTACAGCAAAGACTCACTACCCACAGTGAAGTAAATAACCATACTAAATGTCAGCCATGGTATTTATATCAATTTTAGAATTTGAAGTCTGTAAAGTAAACATTTTTAAGAAGCATCAGTAAGTCAAAAGATCAGTACTGCTATCAGGAAAATACAAATTGAAATACTCTCCTGAAATATATTTGCCTGTCACCTAATGTTCAGAGGTTTGTGACCCTTAAATAGTTAATATCTCACATCTTTAACTCTGTCAGAATAAACATTAAACCTCCAGAAGCTAGATCCATTTTCAGATTT